ATAAATCTTTAAAATTTGTCGCAAAAATGATTACATTACAATTTTGAATACTAATAAAACGAGATGAATTATTGAAACTCAAACAACACTTTAATTTTTTGTCAAAATTTCGTTTTCAAACTTATATTGAGATCTTTGTTTCAAGAAAAAATACCATTTTCAAGTTAGCATTTTTTGATGTCATTTCGAGAATTTCCTTTTGCCAAATTTTACTTTTTATCAAATACATTTTTTGAAAGTTAAAAAATTCATTCATTTTTTACAATAAAAATTACTACTAAAGTATTAATATTACTAAGAATTGTTTTACTGTTTAGTAAACTGGGGTAGTTACTTTTTTTGCTTTTTGATTACCCGAAATTTTTGCATCAATTTGTAGTTCCGTTTAAAATTTTTCAGAGAAATAACTTGATTTTTTGTTTGTAAAAGTTTATTAAGCTAAAGAAAAGAACAAATTTTTTTTCAAATAAACCATTCATTAAAAATGTACATTTTTTATCGTAGAGAAATATTTTGATGAGTTGTTTTCTACTTCTTACTATATTCAATGATATCAATGTAAGAAGTACTGAGAAACAAATGGGCATAGCATTTAATTACTCTTACGCATATCTTGTTTTCAAACCCTGCTGTTGAAGGAGTTTAATTAGTGAAAAGAATTTTTTCATATGTTTGGCTTCAGCTAAAAAACAGCCTTTGGTAGGCGTTCATTTTGCGCTCTATAAATAGCTCTAACTTTTCTAAAAATTCATTTACTGAGCTAATTCTTTAAATAAAATTAATATTGTCTTTGTTACTTTTACAAAGTATCAGACCTAACTTCAGCTCCTTTAATTTATTTCTGCAATAATCGTTGTTATTTTACTCCGTCCACAGATTGCACTCTCAAATATTTAGAAATGGCTCTTCAGAAAGTGAGTTCTTCTTTTATTTTCATATTATTCTTTCTGATTTAAACAAATAAAGTTATCATCTATTTGCGGGCAATATTTTCACAATTTTGTAATTGTTAGTTTTAAAAAACAAACATTTACAAGTTTGGCAAAAAGAAATTTTGCAAAAAATTGCTCGCAAAACGAGAAAATGGAAGAAGTTTGGCATTCTGATGTTTAATATTAAACGTGTAACACAATATTAAACTTGCTTTGCTATTTGCTAATTTATGTAAGCAAACCAAACTATTATCTATTTGGAATGCATTTTATCTCAAAAAATATTTCTTTTTTGTAAAAATTAAAAATTGTTTAAGTAATTTTTATAAGTTTAGTCAACAATTCCAATTTTTCCGTTACGAATAATGAATTTGTTATTTGTAATTCTTCAGATCTATTTCTATCTTTTGCTCATTCTGATGTTATTGGCCATGATTGTACAAGTTTCTTATGGGTGTAGCCAGTGCTGTCCACCATGTCCTAAGCCACCCTGTGGTTATCCGAAGTAAGTTTAACAAAGTATTAAAGTCTAGTTTTTAAGTAAGTTTTTTTACAATTTTTAAAAATACAGCAGTGAAATATTTAGTCAATTTAAAGTAATAAATCGCAATAGTGTATGTCAAGTTTAAACTAAACTATGATAACTAATTATGATTGATAATGTCAGTATTATTATTATTATTATTATTATTATTATTATTATTATTACTATTATCGTTATTATTATTATTATTTTAAAATCATCACTAATGCCTTGAAATGAGTGGAAATTTTCAAAAAATTTACAACTAATAATAAAATTGATGGTCAAAATTTTTGAATATATATTTCTACTGTAATCCGTAAGTAATCACTAGACCAAATTTTGTTAATTCTTTTCTGTTGACGAAATGATGCGCACAACAGAATATTTTTTTTCCAATTAAAAATTCAAAGTCAAACATTAAGACAACGTGTAATGCACTTCTGATATTAAATTGGTTGTAATAACCGAAAGAAAAAGTGAAAAAATAAAAGGAAGTGAAACTTCTAGTATGAAACGCCAAATTTTCCTTGCAAAATGTTGTAATAAGTGAAAAAAATGCATTTCCAAACGAATTAATGAGAGAAATTTTTTTGCATTTATTTAAAAATAACTGCTGGAAACATATTCATGCTTTTGCTCTTGGAAATGACACTGCATTTTAAACTACTCATTTCCTACACATTAGTTTTTTTAATAATGATAACAATAACCATAGTAACAAATTATTAATCTTCATAAAAGCACTACTATTTATAGTATTATACTATTATCAATGATATTATCAAAATATTTATAACTATACTTATTATAAATATTACTATTATTGTTATTATTATTATCAATATTAATAATATAATTATTGTTATTATTGATATTATTAATATCATTATTAATCATTGTATCAAATTTCAGATTTGGAGGAGGATTTGGAGGTTGAGGACTACACTTTGGTTATTCAGAAGTGTACTGCAATATCGGATAATTGAAAGATGAACGATTTACTGCTAGGGAAACTTGAAAACAAAAACTTTTACTTCAATTTTTGTCGCAATGAGTGTGTTACTACAAGAAAAAAATTGTATCCTTTTAGTGTTGTAATGTTTTAACATTCAAAACCAGAATAATTCCTTGAATTCGTGATTTTTTCTTACAGTATGTTTGAAAATTGAAACTATTTTGGAATTATAATAAAAATTTATTCTACACATTTTTACGTAAAAGCATTGATCATAATGATTTTAGCGTCACTGTGTAATAACACAGCTTCAAATATGTTAGAATTGGAATGATTTTAATTGATAAATAAGTTAAAATATTTACTGATAAGCATTTTTTCTTATTGCTTTCCACTTATCAGTTTTGATTACTGATGGTTTTGAGATATTTTTTCTATTTATGCTAAATAACAAATGAAAAGCACAAAAAACGATGACTTCAATGAACATTTGATTATTTTTTACATTTTCTGAGGGTTGAAATAGACATCAAAAATCCTGTCCTTTTGATTTTAATTTCCTGTCAAATATTTGAATAACTATCAAGTGTGATCCAATATCGAATTAAATTTGAATACATTCATGCAAAACAAGTATATCTTTATTAGAGTAGCAGTAGTATACTGAGAATATATGCAGTTTATCAGTAACTGAATTTACTGATCTTAATATCAAAAGTATTTATCCAATTACTATGTTAAAATGAATATGTTTTGAAGACAAAGTGCTAAAGAATGATAATATTTTATATGGGAATTGATTGTTTATAAAGGGAAATATTTAAAAAATGGATAATCCTTTTCACGCCAAAATCTTTTTTTCAAAGTTTTCAGAAATTTTGTTTGGTTTCGACAAAATCCAGATGATATAGTTTATGTCATATATTTTTGTATCATTTTCTTAGCATGATCAAAGTGTAAAATACTATTTTTAAAAAAGATTAACGGAGTATCTGATAACTTAAATTTTCACAAAAACTGGTGGTAATAACGGTAGTAAGTACAAAATATGATTTTGGATCAAGATTAAATCAGTGATTAGCTTTATGCAAGTAGATTTCATTCTTACTAAGATCGACTGATCGCATGGTAATTTCTTAGTTATCACATTTGGCAGATAATAAATTATCATACTATCAAATTATCAAATTATGCTCTAGAATTTAGCATCTTTAAGTATATAAATTTGGTACTTCAGTTTATGTCCAGGATTATTATTACTGACATGTGGATCTTATAGTAAAGTGATTATCATGTTGTAATCCATGTTAATCAATAAATGGGACATAAAAATATCTTCAAAATATAGTGTATCTAAGATATAATCACGTACGTTAACTGAATCACTCAAAAGTTTACAGCTTGCCAGTAGATCAATTAATTTTTATGGATTATTTTTGTGAGAAAAGATGAAAATTTGAGCATTGACATAGTACTTTTTTTGTAATGAATGTTTAAATTAGATTTATGAAGAAGTGATCTGGTGACGTAGATCATTGGTGTGGATCATTGGTGAAAATCTAGAAGTATAAAAATAGCTAAAGGAATTTTCCGAAGTGTTGTGCATAATCAGCAAGATGCGAAGGAAGAGGAAGCTTGAAAAAGTTGATCGACAACAGCGTGAATTACTGGAAAGAATTATTATAAATTAAAGTAATTGCTGATAATCAAGTAAAATGATAATGTGAACAATTGGATAGATAAATAGTTGAATAGTTGCAAATTGTAGTAGCATCTCTGGCAATAATCGCCTCAAGCAATTATAATTATATAAAGAGAATAATTTTTACTCATTTGGCAATTGCATTTCATTTATGTGAATTCTAGTAACACTAAATAAAATTTTTACTGTATTACTTTAATTATCATAATTTAGCATATATTTCATAAAAGTAATTAATGGAAAAGTACTTGAATAAATGTAATTCAGATATTTAACTCGCTTTATTGACTGATTTTTTTCTTCACTAATGAATATATATTGCAGATCACTTTAACGATCAATTCAACAAAACTGAAGTAAAAGATTAGAAAATTTAAGAAATTTAAATACATTTCATTGAAATGGTTAGAAATTATTATTCGATTTTTAATTTGCAATGTTTTAATTATGCAAATTAGAATTTTAAATTAGTTTATTGAAACTTTCAAAGCAAAATATCAGTTCGCGTTAACTCCACTCAATATGGAATTGCTTAAAAAATTGAAAAAAATTGTCCTCTAGAGGTTTTATTCAAATCATTAATGTATCATTAAAATATCAATTATCGTAAATGACAACTAATTAATAACTTATTGCATTAAACTGAACGGTTTTATTTACTATTTATATTGTGTGATTTGTTTATAAAAAATAATTTAGATTTTGATGAATATTTTGCAGAGTTAAATAATCAAAAGTAAAGACTTTTTGTACCAAGTTATTATCCATAGCCCTGAAGTCAGTTTTGCAAACTAATATTTTAGCTAGAAGTGCTGTTATCAATATTACTGGTACATCCAGTATCAGCTTGTATTGGATTCGGTTCCAGCGATTGCTGTCAACAATCTCAAACAGCATGTGGTTGTACATCATCATGTGGTGGAACACCTATAAGTAATATCCGTGGGTCAGGTTTACTTCAATTTCGCAGTCTCTATAGCAATGAGCAAATTATTAGGCATTGCTTAATGACTATGGTAGCACAAAGCAATTATTAGTACAACAGCAAAAATAATTATATTCACAATTAATTTCAAACAAATTGAGTTGAAAAAGATCTCAAACTTATAAGCAATTGAAATTAGTAGTTAATAAAGTTTGAGCGAAGAATAGATTAACACTTAATTAAACTCAAAGTTCAAATAAACCTAAAATTTAAAGAACAGATTGGTACCTAAATAACATATTCAAAATTATATTCATATATACGCAATTTTAGAAAAGAACGCATTACCCCTTCATTTTCTTTAATAATGATTGTTTAACATCCGATAGATTAACATATTTGATACCTTCATCAGTACACATAAATATAGCAGTCAATTGTTAGAAATTAAAATATGTAGTCCGATTTACTTCCAGTGCTTGATTTATTTAGAACTGGAGTTCTTCCACCGCCACCACCGCCACCACCACCACCGCCACCACCGCCACCTCCACCAATTATTGGATACTCCGCTCCAAGTGGCTATAATTTCGGTGCTTCTCCGATCCCATCTTTAAGTTCTTTTCCAGCCTTCAATGCACCTCAAGTTTTTCCATCTTACCAAAATCAGCCATCTTCGGAGCAAACAGTATTACTGCAACCCAATTCTCAAGTGCCACAAACCTACGCAGGATCTCAAGTAGCATCGGCACAATCTTACACAGGAACTCAAATTGCTCCAGCACCGCAGACTTACTCCGAACCTCAACCAGCATCTGCCCCTCAAACTTACTCTTCACCTCAATCAGCACCAGCACCAGCACCACAGACCTATATCGAGTCTCAACCAGCACCAGCACCAGCACCACGGACCTATATCGAGTCTCAACCAGCACCAGCACCAGCACCACAGACCTACATCGAGTCTCAACCAGCACCAGCACCACAGACTTACCCCGAATCTCAACCAGCAGCACAGACTTACCCCGAGTCTCAACCAGCACCGCAGACTTATTCTGAATCTAGTCCAGCATCAGCACCACAGACTTACCCAGAGTCTCAACCAGCACCAGCACCACAGACTTACTCAGAGTCTGAACCAGCAGCAGCACCACAGACTTACTTTGAGTCTCAACCAGCATCAGCACCACAGACTTACCCCGAATCTCAATCAGTATCTGCACCTCAAACTTATTCATCACCTCAACCGGCGCCGGCGCCTCAAACCTACTCTGAGCCTCAACCAGCATCAGCACCGCAAACGTACTCTGAACCTCAATCGTCAGTTCAAACCTATCATGAACCTCAACTAGCACCAGCAGCTCAAACTTACTCTGAGGCGCAATCAGCACCAGCACCACAGACTTACTCAGAGCCTGAACCAGCAGCAGCACCACAGACTTACTCTGAATCCCCAAAATCTTTTCCAGAACAACAATCAGCACCTGATCTTCTATCATATCCAAGAGCTTCCAGTCAAATTTCTGATGGTATATTTTTTCTCTTTTTCAGTTCACTAAGCCATTTATCTACTTCATTATCATGTTTTAAACTTGTCAAAAACTTTAAGTAATATTTAAGCATTTTTTAAACTTTTACTTAGCATTTTTAAGATAAAAATTGTAATATTATAGCCCCAAATAAAGTTAATCAATGCACAGAATTTAGCAATTCTGGACAGTTCAAAAAATTGTTGTCTTAAAGAAATACTATTTCATAGAAATTTTATTTAAAAAACTTTTTAAGTGGCATCTGCAAAGTATGCAAGTTTACAACGCCGGTTTCAGCTTCTGTTGCTCAAGCAACATACGGTACTGAGAACATAGTCGAAAGTAGAACTAATGAAGCAGCGTATCAAAAATCAGCAAAACCAGGCAGTACTGATGGTTACAAAAAACGTGGAAAACTGCGACAATTACGAAGACTGTATTAAAGCGTTCAAAATTAGCATAACAATTTTTCGAGTGAACCAAAATTTCGAATGTGTTTTTTATTTGTTTTTGTTTTTGAACAGCTTCTACAATAATCACTATTATTTGAATATTTTTGCTAAAACTTAAATTAATCTTTCCCTGTCAATTCAGTAATTTCAATACTAATTTTTTGACATTTGATTTTAAACAAAGTTTTAAGTTTTTGATAATGAACAATTCAAAATGTAATTCTGTTCAGTATGTTGATGCATGGGCATTTTTCAGAAATGTGATTTTTCTGGGATAACTCTTTTACTTTATTTATCTGAAGTTATAACATTTGTGAACTGTTTCAATCTCTATGAAGAATTAAGAATATTTCAAATGAAGAAAATATGACGGTAAATTTGCAAAAGTTATTTCACTTAACAACAATAACTCTTTGATAATTAAGGATAGCTTGTTATTTTTCAACATTATTGTACCGAATAACGTTTGAGGATTTAATTTTAAAGAATGAGATATTATTGGTATTAATGAACTGAATATATACTGTCTTTTACTAATCAAATACAAGTACTTTTTGGTTTACTATGTATATAATTGTAATTCTTTGAATTCATAAAACTATTAATTTTAATTACACATACTGAAAAGTTTTCACCAATAAACAATATGTATGTAATTATTTTACGATTAGAACTAAAAATTTGAACTGTTTTAAGATTAGAACTAGCTTATGACAATTCGACTTTAATGGAACTCTTAATATAGTGAGATATATTTAATAGAGTGGTACATGTCAAAACTGCATGATTCTGTAACTTGAAAAAAGTTATCAAACTAGTGTGAAAAGCTACTACAACCTCAAAATTTCTGTTGCTACTTCAAAATTGAGGTTAACATAACAACTGGTACTCTTCTCCCATCAATATATATTAATTCGCAATTAGTAACCTGATTATTATATAAATTAATAAATCTGAGTGCTTTGTCTCAATTAAAAACTGAAAGAAACAACCTCTGTTCTTTTGCTAACTACAACCACTGCTGTGATAACTATCCTCTTTGTTGCCGTAAGCAGTTTGAGATGCAGAAGGTTAGATCTGTACAGAGTTATTCTGCGCATACCCATTAAAAAGATATCAAAATGTGTTAACAGAGAAGAGCTGGTTTGAAAACTCGTTCCAATATATGATAACTCGTTTACAACAAATATAATCAGATAAATTCTTCTTTATCAATCGCTCTTTAACAACAATAAATAGTTCTTAATTCAGCAGAGTTGGATACGCACATTGCTCAGACTATTTATCAAATAAAGTGATGAGAATTTTGATGTATTAATTAAGTACTTAGAATGAGATAAGTTCTGTGATAACAGACCAAAAAAGCTACCTGAAACGATACTACCTGAAATGTTCATTCTCATTCTCGCCACCTCATCATCTGCAAATCCTTCCTTTTTATGCAAATTACTCGAAATGCATGCGATAGTTAACAATTATTTAACACAACTAAACCTCAGTGGAATCAGAATTATTACAAATTTCAAATAACATCACCGACTACTTTAATTGCATAATTAAGCGAAATAAAAAATTCTTCGGACTTTCAAGCAATTAAGAAAAGTTAAATCAAAGAACTAGCACAGACTTAGTGAGGCAAAACGTTACTCACAGTAATATCTTACTGTTCCGTTCCGTAAGTATGCATTTGTTCTTAATACTATAAGCTCTACTACACTCTTGTACATTCTTTGAATCTCTAATAGAGCTTAATCTCTAGTAGAGCTTTCTAAAGACGATATTGCTTACAGTCCTCATATTTCTTCTAACTTGCATTCATTCATTTCAAATTTGTACCTTAGTAAAAGAAATTTTTTTCTTTTTTTTCCATTTTTCATTGCCAGCCTGCAATCTTTCCTCATAATCTATATGTCTAATAAAAAGTACGAGAACACTGAAGTATCTCGTACTTTACTCTTAATCTTTATATTTGAAATAAAACACTTTTCTTCTCCCTACTGTTTCTCTAGTAGTCAGTCTTTTTTAACGTAGTTTTCTCTTTTTTCTCCTTAAACTGCGTTGTTTCTTACTTTGCGTTGAAAACAAGAAGGCTTGTAGCGCAGTGACTGCTGATGAAATCATGAAGCATTCCATGATATAATGTCAAGGTTTGCTTTAAGCTTTTAAGCACTAAGTAGTACTTGGTAGAAGAAATAGTTTCAGTTTCAGCTCCTTTTTTAGCTACATATCTTCTGTTTTAGCTAAACCTGCTCCAGCATGTCGAAAAAAGTTGTTATCCTTGTTATTTTTCAATTTTTTTAATTAGAATTAATTATAAATTGTTAGTGAAATGTAACACAACAGTTAGATTTATATAATTTAATAACTATAAAGCTACAAATCAAAGTTGAATTGCTCTCAATACTTAGCGTTTGAGTAGTTGGAAAGTTTTGATTTTTTACTTTATTTTTTTCACTGTCCAGTATATAAGTTAAGAGTTTTAGAAATTTTGTATGCATTGTACTTTGGAACATAAATACATTGTGAGTTTACAAATTGGTGATTGCATGGAAACTGTATTTAAAAGTTAGAAATCTTAAGATTCTCTGCATTACTCGATCCGACTAATTTTTAGGTTAGTAATAATGGAAATTAAGCACTGATATTAATTTTTCTTCCCTATAAGTATTGGATAAAGTAAATTTGTAAAACCTTTGCATACAGGAGAAAATTATATCAATATTTCTTTACTTTTGTTGCCTCATTGTAACGATAGAAAGAGATGGTTTCACTTTTAGCTCATTTTTTAGCTATATACTTTCTGTTTTAGCTAGATGTTGTCTCGTCAAGTACGACAATGGCGTACGTTATACGAGTTTGCAAGAAATTTGAACATGAGTGTGCGAAGTTGCTCAACAAGTACTTCGACTCAGGTGGAGGAGAACAAAAAGAAACGTGAGCATGTTCTGGTTGATTTTTAAAGTGATTTATTTGATCAGTCATCGTATTACTAAATGCTTTCCTCACTGTATGTCCTATCAGCAAATAGTTTCGCGTGTGTATTCACTGATTTCTGTAGTAAAAATTAGAAGTACATATTTGTAGCTCATTCTTTAATTCATTCAAAAAATTTTCTGTAAAAATTTTTTTACCACAATTTTTTTAGCCACAATTTGGAAAATTGATGAAGCAAAACGTGAAAAATTAGCGAAATTCGGTCGGTATTGTGCAGAATGTTTGCCAAAGTTTATACAAAGAGTACAGGTATTTTATATTATGGCTTGATTTTAATTCACTGAGTTCCCAAGTTTTTGTAGATAGTTGTCCTGTTACTTATATGATACTATAAAAGTATTAAAGTAAGTAACAGCGCTCAATTTTTCTTAGTTGACTTGTTTGTAAGGAAGCTATCACATCACTAAATCAATGAGTCTTATCTTTCTTTGATTTATCGAAACTAAAAATTAAGTTCTCTGAGTAATCCTGCTTTTGTTTTTTAGTTTGCTGCTGGCGATGAACTAGAGTTATTAATTCATCCGAGTGGGATTATTCCAGTAATTGCATTTTTAAAAGGAAATCATGCTGCACAATTCACTAATATTGTGTTTGTTACTGGGATGGATGTTCCCACACGCAAATTCCGTTTTGAGGTTTTTAGTTTTTCGACAGATTTGAAAATTTGATCACTGGTTTTTTTTTCATCAGTTATTAATAATTGTTACTGTAAATCAGTGAGTGTTGATAGATGAAATAAATTTTTCGTTATTGGAATTCACATACTGTATTAAATTGACTGCAGTCAAAATCAAAAGAGATAACTTTTCTGTTAACTTTTTAATTACAGTTGATGTTTGAAACATTTTTTAGTAACACTCATTAACTGATATAAAACAAATAAGTCATACAGTCATCTCCGCTTTAGGAGAAATTTCTGTAAAAGCCAGAGTTTGAATCAAAATCTTTTCTTGGCCATATTCTACTTTATATCTTCGTTATAAATTTCTTCGTGTAATCATGTAGTTAGTTTTAAATGGAATCTTTTATATCATTCAGTAATTGCTCAGTACTTCACTGTATAAAGGTCTTGCAGGTAATCTATGCTCTTCTTTCAACACGTTTTAATGCACGCATTCGTGTACGTACGTATACTGACGAAATTGCACCCATAGAGTCAATAACATCAATTTTTAAGGGAGCCAATTGGTAATTAACAATAAAAATCCAACTTAGTATGTTTTATCATATCAAAACATTTTAATTTTTTCTTTACTTTAGGTATGAGCGAGAAGTATACGACATGTTTGGTGTTTGGTTTAATAATCATCCAGATTTACGACGTATTCTTACAGATTATGGATTTGAAGGGCATCCTTTTAGAAAAGATTTTCCGTTATCTGGTTTTGTTGAGGTGAGTTTTCTGGACGAGTCGAGAATTTTAATATTTCTGGGACATGGTAATTGTAAATATTATACCTATTTCATGGTGGTTTCAGTTGCGATATGACTCAGAACTTAATCGTTGTGTTTATGAACCAACTGAACTAGCTCAAGAATTTCGGAAGTTTGATTTGAAGACACCGTGGGATGTGATGCCTAATTTTCGTGATGAATCAATAGCATCATGTTATGAACAAATCAGCATTAAGGAGCCAGAAAAAGAAGTGGAAACAAAAGAGAAATAAGTTTTATTGAAATAACATGTGATAAATGGAACATCACGATATTTGGGTTGAAAAAATGTAGAAATAGTGGTGTTTTCTTCAATAAAAGCTGTAAAAACGGTCATTTGATTAGTGAAATGTCAAGTTTGGCATTTCTGTAGTATTTGGAGCTGTATTATTGTTTAATGTTATTTATATTAAACTTTTTTTGATCTTTGAAAATATCGCCACGAAGTTCCTTTCCACTCAATTCTAGAACTGCACGTGCTTCACGTTTATTTGTTAATGTGCGTTCTCGAACTATTTCATTCAGAATCATGTCTTCTGCTTGACTCCACCGTTCACCAATCTGCCATATTTCAATAGTTTTCGGCATGTAAGTTGTTTCCTCAGCCAACCAGCACTTTTCAAATGTGCTCATTCCAGGTGTTGAATTGCCAGTTCGCAAATCTTCATCCACAAAGAATGACCAGTTGTCATCGTAACCTCCCATTCCCTGTGAAGTTTTTCCAGCTTTAAAAACCTTGTTTTGGTCTAATATTTTTATTGGTCTGTTATAAAGTGATATGTGTTATATAGAGTTGGAAAAATTACTCTTTCATCAAAATAATATGGGTGCAGACTAAAATTAAGTTGTATATGATGCAAGAAAACACACAATTCCATTTGGCATTGAAGCTTGGCGTGTATTAATATAGCAAAAATTTTTGTTATAACCCGTGGAATGATAAATATTCAGCTTTTGTCGATCCTGGAACAGAAAACACTGAGTATCTCCAGTATGGAGGGGACCACTTGTGAAACCTTGGTCAGCAAATCCACCAAAAACTCGGTTAGATGCTGTTTCGATGACAATTAAACAAGGACCCGCATCACTGACGTTTTTCAGCAACTGTGTAAAACTTTCGCCATCTCTTACACTGAAATTCCAAGTTCTATTTAGCCAGATATTTGTGTAGCGAAAGTTTTAAAACTAAACGTGAGTTTGGGAAATCTCAAATTTCATTTTCTGAAGTACAGCTTGAAACTGCTCTGCTTAAAGGTACTTTGCTTATGTCGACAGACATTTTATTCTCTTCAAATAAAACGTAGCCTTGTTTCAATGATGGTCATATTTGAAGAACCAGAAGGTTATGCAAACATTATGTCAAATTTATAAGAGTGGAGTTTCAGGATATCCTTTTACATTGGTGTCATTTTACTTGGTATGTAGTTCATATTTTGTTTTCCTAGATTTAAATTATAAAAGATACCAAGGTACAGATTCAAACAAAGCTAGCACTAAAGTGAGTTTCTGTTTTATTTGAAATCAAAAATTTTTCTATCAAATGTAACCTTGAAAAAATCAACTTCCAATGTGCTCTCAAATTTTCAGGTAAATTTGCATACAAAAGGCACAGTGCGGCTGAAGTGAGAATTGAGTGTTTGCAAGTTTCAGGCAGAAACAGAAAATTACTTCCTGGAACTAGATGAAGCATCTGATTTGTTTGTGCAATCATAATTTGCAAAAGTATTTCACGCTTAATGAAGTTGGAAAGAGTGCGTACATTCAAAGCTGGCGGCATATTTTGCATGAAATAATCAGTCAAAAGTGTGCCGCTTTGGAGATCCAAATTTTGATACATAAAAAATGACGAAACTATAGCGTCCAGAATCTACAAACGCATGATATATGAATGTGTTAAAATCTTCAAATCTTTTCTAGAAACGCTTTGAGAGAAACAAAATTATGCAAATTCTGAAGTAGACCTCTTCTACTGGTCGATTAAATTGTATAAGAGCCTCAGCTTGTTGATCTTTATCACCAAGCATCATTTTAGCAAACTTAATAAATGTCTTCTCTGTAATCTGGAATTTATTTAAACTTCTAATTCAGTAAAGAACATTTGGCTAGTTCTAAATCTCTACAGATAACAATATTGCTTTGTAAGATATGGAGTACTTTTTTAATATGACCGAGATATCCTTATAGGAAATGAAAATAAAAGAAAATAAAAACATGTCTGATGAAAAAATGAAATGTAAAAGCTGGTACTAAAATGAGTCGCTAATGAAATGTGGTGCAGGAAGAAATATCAACAAAGCACACAACTTACCTTCGTTTTATCCACTATAAATTATTATAATCACGAAATTATGCTAATGTATTTTATGAAGATATCCTTATAAATTATTTATGGCAATAATTACTTATTCTATGTAAATCAACATCGCAATGTGAGAACGTACCACATTTTCTTTGTTTTGCAAGGCATCATAAATAATTGACTGCATTTGAGGACTTAGCACCGTAGTGGTAAATTTCTGAAATTTGTATTATTCTCAAAATTAAGAATTATTAGCAATTAAGACAAATTAGGAGAGTTCATGAACTGAAGAAGATACTTACTTGGAAGGCGACTTTATCAATATTCGGATTTCCATTACTTATTTCATAAAATCGCTTTTGTAAAGCATCGCTTCCGTTATCGTTCTTTCTAACATGTGATGGATTTGCTTTGCTTAAAGCTTTACCCATCGAAATGAAACTGTACGGTGCATACAAATATTCAAATGTCTTGTTATAAAATGAAAGTTACAACACAAAATAACGTGTAGTGGAAGAATATTATTACATGGCAAACAAGAGCACGTTGTCTGTCGTGTGATGATTCACGTGACATGGAAATAATGCCGAAAGTGTTTAATGGTGGGATGATTGCACCAGAAATGAAAGAAAAAATAACTGAAATGTGTAGAATAATAAATGAAATGTGTAGTTATAGAATTTCCTAAGTAAGTGTACAACAGTAGATATAAAGTTAGAAGCATAATTATGTGGTAAGTAATCTTTAAATAGAAATGCTTCCATCCAGCAGATTTAAATTTGTTTTTGATGAAAGCACAATTCTTTGAGTATTGACTAAATGTGTGTGTGCATTATGATACAAGTTGGCATTGGTGTTTGTCGTTGGGGAAAATAGACAAAAGTTGTGGATGGCACTGAGTTGTCAGATATTATCAGCAAATTTTTTTCTATATTGCTAGGGAGACGTGAAAAGCGCAGAAATCCCTGCAAGATCGCAATTTTATTCGAGTCGCAAATCGGGGCTATAACTAAGGTGGCTAGTAAGTCAGGTAGGTACTAGTTAATTAGCTAGTTAGTCTAGTGCTGAAATGACTACCTTTTTAAGACAGTAATTGCACTGAATGGGTTGATGAGGATTGTTGTGAATTTGTCATGACTCTCCCAGGAATTATTCATTTCTGACGTGTAATATTGATAACTTTGCTAATTTGCAAGTTACTAATGCAGTGAAACTTGCTGCGTGCTAATTCAATCTGCATGCAACTGTTTCTGCTCAGTTCCTTTAGCTCAGTTAATAAATTCAATGATAATTGCAACAAAAGTTTGTTGTGATAGTAATTGCAAGAATTGTTTGATGTGTATTTGCCAGATTTACCGTAGTATTACATGAATAAACTAACTTGTCTTAGCTTAATTAATGAATTAATTAAATTAATCAAATTTAATTAATTAAAATGATTGATTTTAATTAATTCAATTTGATTAATTAATTAGTTTAATTGAATAATTAAATTAATTAATTGTGAAAAAATGAAACTAATGTAGATGTTTTCTTAACTTTACAAAATGATCATCGCATAACGTAAAAAGCATTTTGCTTATTCTATAATAGAACAGATTTTCTCAGTGATAATGAAGTTTAATTTTTTCACTTGGATTTTTTCGGGGTTAGCTTTTTTTGGCTATACTTTTTAGGAATTTCATGATAAAAAAATATGAAAAATTCTAAGAATGATTGAACTTTTGTAAATTTATTGTTATAATATTTCAATATTTAGAGTATTTAGTTTTCATAACAGAAATTTTAAATACAGAAATACTCTGTGACAAAAAAACTTATGTTTATTCCCAAATTTCATTTGTTAATGACAAAATTGAAATGTATGGGAACTGTTGTAAGCAGTCTAAAATTTATCATGTCGTGCATTGCATCAATCAAAAAGTAAGACATTCATATTTATGATTTTTCATTTTCTCAATTTTTTGATCACATTTAATGTTTTTGTAATTTAAAAATACAATTATTTCTGAGTTAATAAAGTTTCTATAAAGATTTATAACTATACTGTGGTATTATTATTATCACAGTGATTTTTATGCTAAGTAATATTCTCCCAAATTTTAAATTCATTGAATTCAGACGTAAATTTGCTGTGAATGCATAAACACGGTGGAATTCAGTTTGTTTAAGAATAACGGATCAATTATCAATTTTGCCTGAATAATGTGATGTGAAACTTTTTGGACAAAAGTAATGACAAACTTTAGAATTTTGCAGTATGTTTTGTTTCTAGCATTATAGATAATCATCACTGTAGGCCAAGAAGTGGACATCTCTTACTGATGACAACTGCGACAGATTCATCTCCTACAATCTGTTCAAATATTATTCTTAATTTATTGTTATTTTTGTTTCATAAAAGTGACAAAAAAATGTGAAAACTGGCAGAAAACTTCATAATAACATTGCTGATTGACATTCAGTCAGTGGCAGTATTATTTTGCGCATAAAACTTACTTATGCACCAAATAATACTACCACTGACTGTACTGATAACTTATAGTACTCAAATACTCAAATTTCGAATTTTTTGCAGTATTATCTCAATTTCTTTAGCATAGAAACTATTTGCATGGCGAAGCAATCTTGTGATTGCCTTTTACGTAAAAGCTCACATTCATTTTCTTTCGCCTTTCATTTGCATGCTTATTGTGCTAATTAACAATTAACTGATCTTGTTCAGAGACGATTTTTTATAAAAATAAGCAAGTAAATTACTATTTCATTGTGACATTTATTCGACTG